TATAAAGCTGGGGGAAAAAGAAGGAAGGGAGGAAAGTTCAGAGTGATGGCGTCTGTCTTTGCTTTCTCAAGAACTTCTTCTGCTGTATTGCCCCACACAATCCCCCCCATCCCACCACGGGTGAGCGAGCGAGCAACCAGCTGTGTGGTGCTTAGTTGCCAGCTGGGGTTAAACCACAACACAAATGAAGAGTATGTTGCAGCCGCATGCAGAAGGAGGTTTCCTGGGATTGGTAACATGCATAATCAGAGACATAAAGAAATAAAGACTTTATGTTTGGATGGGAAAAAGCACAGTAACAATAGTTGTGGAAAAATACCAGTGGGATCCAAAAAGGAATGTGCTATAAAGCTAGTACAGCATTTCAACTGCAACAAAAATCCTCAAGAGATTGTCAGGCTATGATTGCACCGAGACCTCTCCAAAAAAGAGCTGCAGAGAGGGACCATGCAGAGCAGGCACATACTGCCTCATCAGTAGCTGTGGCCAAAGCCTGTAGCCAGGACACCCGGAGTAACTGACATCAACTAGGGAAGCAGGCACACGGAAAAGCTAGGCAGAGAAACACTTGCAGTTACTAAACTCACTTATACTTCCCCTTCATCTTGACAGTATAACAATGAACAAGCCATTAACTTAATTGCTACAGAATGAGAAGTGCAAGCTTTCTGCAGAGCTGTGTGTATGAAAAATGCATGTGTATAAATTTAAAGCAAAATAACAAGCTCAAAGCAGATACAAGTGTATGAATTGTGAGTGCAAGAAAAAGCAACTTTTTCAATACTTACTGATTTTTCTTCTGCCCAAATAATAGCTCCAACTCCCGTTTTATGATCCTCTAAAATACATAACATTTTAGCAGTAAATAACAAATAAAGCACTTCTAAGTTACCCATACATTAACATACAAAATCCTAGAGTAACGAATAACATTCATTGTTGTTTCATGGACAGGAAAAAAGAAATGCAGAAAGATTAAGAAGCTTTGAAGTCATATGAGTCTACTGCAAAAGCTGGGTGTGCTTTAACTGCAAGGGCAGCCACTCTAAGACTTTGCTACATATGTTTGTTCACAAATGCTAAGAAGCAACCGATACATATATCAGATAAGAAAATGTGCGCAAGAATATATGTGAACAGGTCTGCTGAAGTGAGATAGCAAATTGATAAAAACCTTCTTGATGTTTACTACTTAATTTAATTACTTAATTTCTGCCATTCGTTAAGTTTATGGTTCTGTGGTCTGAATTCCTGTCAAAATTAGCTGTATTTTATACCTAATTCAGAGATAAAATGTTAACAATCAGATTTTGGGGGATGTTCCTTATCACCACCACAGGAAAACTGGAACAGAACTTTCATTATGTGACTTAAAAGATTTTTATGGAACTTGGAAATCTTCACCAGTAGCTATTGATGACAGTCTTGACCAGTTAGAGCGTATCAAGGAGAAAAAAAATATATGTTTCAGGCTTCCAGTGATTAACATTGTAGAAGACGCTGTTTCAATTAACCATTTCCATCATCCTGCATCACTACCATATACAATCACTCAAAGAGGGTCTTTCCTGCCAAAGATATGTTTTATGAGAACTGACTTTATTTATAGTCTGCATTTTATATAGCTGCTGCTGTATATTAAGCCAGCATAGAAAACATCCTATGATCTTGCTCCCCTTATATCCACCTATATAATAATGTAAAGCATCTAAATATGTGTGTGTGCTGTTATTTATTTTAATTTCATTACAGAACTAAAGCGGAATAAGAGTTTGCTCAAAAAACAGAGCTGAGTCCAGGCTGAACAGCACAGATAAAACTGAATTTTGCTGCCTGAAGAATGAGTACTCAAGCTCGGTCATTCTGTCTTGCTCTGTACAACAGTAGTTGTACAAAAAGCTCACAACTGGTTCCATGAAACTTCTGAATTACTTCTAAAAATGCAATCTCCTCTGCATTTGGTAGCCAAATGTGCTGAGGGTACAAAAAAAAAAAAAGGTTCTAAAATATGATGATTCACCTTTACAAATAACAAAGTCTGAATAAGTCAAAAGGCACGTTCAACACCTGACCTGATAGGTTTGTGTTGTGTGTGTGTATTGGGGGATTAGTTTTGTTTTAAGCTTTAAATATGTACTCTTTATTTGTTTACAAGGGTTTTTAAAAAGCAGCTATCCTATCTACATGAAAAAAATATCACTAAGGAGTACCACCAACTTTTAAGTCTTCACATTCTGTTCTCTGGAAGAACTTACCAGTTTACTGCATTGCTACCCAGACAGAATAAAGTAGCTAACAGAAGTCATCCGTATCAAAAGATAGTCAGTAACTATCCTTCCACCTGGAAAGCCTGTACATCGAAACTCCAGCATCTTTGCAAAGAAAAGCCCCATCAGATAAATAAGCAGTTTCACTAGTAAGATTAGAACTAGGAAACTTAATATAACCGTACTTAATGCCCTACTGAAAGGATATTATTTCACTGTTTTTTTCTGAAGAAATGTACATAATCTGCTTGAAATACTGGCATGTATTTGATAACAGAAGCATTTCGTGAAACCTCAGTAAAAAGAGCCTCACAGCAGCTTGAAGAATTTAAATGTCATTGTATTCTATTTTCAGAAAGGTGTTGGACATGTTGGCAGGGCACTGCACTGATTTTCTCTTGGAAAGCTTTCACACACAATGCTATGTACCCCTGTGGAGTTTTCACTATGACTGCTGCTCCCGTTTCACAGATGTAGGAACGGAATCCAGCAGCTTGCTCAAGGAAGCATTTGGAAGAATAAGACTGAAATCAGGAACTGGCTCTACTCATGAGACCCATTCTTCCTCCACTACTGTAACAACTCACCTGTCCGGTATGCAAGTAGTCTGGCTTGTATCATACAGTGCCTTGCAACTTCTTGGGGCAAACCCTGATGGTCTGTTTCATTTGTTCGTTGTGATTCACTGTTGTAAAATCCAAAGCATCCAAAGACAGGGACGCTGGCAGCCACTGTTGCCAAGACCAAGACAAGATCTCTCATATTTTGCCTAAGATTGCTGAAGTACGGATTTTCACAGAGGTTCTCCAGTCCTATTGTCATCAATATTTGCTTGTGCATTTCCTCATTTGAAATTAGGAATAAACTTTCATATTCTTTTATTCTCTCTTGTCTACATGCAGTATAAAATTCAGTATTAGAGTCAGGCTGAGATTTTGCTATTTTTTGAATAAAATCGAACTTGGTAGAAGTTTCTTCAACAAATTGCACCATATAGCACACCAAGGGCTGAAGCAACACACACACACGAGCGCGACTATTTGACTTCAGTCTTTCTACTGCTTTGGCATCTAGCTTTGCATCACCAGTAGTTAGGGGATTGGACGCCTCATTCTGCAAGCTGATTTCAGGATCTGCAGGCCAGTAAGAAATCCTGTTCACCCCAGCTGGAAGAGAAGATAATGCAGCAAAAAGGAACCATGCAAGTACAGTGGAACATAAACCTCATATACAACACACTATTGGTTAACCCTAGTTTTACTCCTTTAAGGCCCTGAGTGCTGCTTAAGGGGTGTCTGGAGAACAAAAATGCTAGCAGATAAGAGTATCAAGAGGTTATCTGACTTGATAATCGGACTATAGACAAAGACTGGAGTTTCCTAAGTTCTAAGATCTTTGTGACAACCTAATTTTGCATCTCACCTACAACACATATATTAACATCTCGCAAAAAAGTTAGCACTAATAGAAGTTGCTGCTGAGATTAAAAATCAATACTTGCAGAAGGGCTGTACCAGCAGATTCCATTTCAGGAAGTAAATAATCTGACTTAGCTTCATCTCACTTGGGAAAAGGAAACCCTAAAGTACTCCCTGTGATTTCTGCCTAAAAAACACCCTTCCTCTGGTGCCACCGACAAGCAATGGGAGGCCAAGGAAAAATGCAGCCATCTAGGCCTAGTCATCAGGCTTACGGTTCCTCTGGCAAAGTGCAACAGGTATGTCAGCATCTGAGCAGTGCATCCCAACCAAGAGACAAGCACCACCAATAATAATAGTTGCACAGAGACATAGGGTCTCAGTAGCAAACCCTAGTTTCTTGACCATCAGCTCCAGGAAATGTACATTCAATATTGTTTTCAGCCTTGTGGAAAGTATCAGTGCAGGCTACTCAAGTTAGGGATTGGCATTCACAACTGGGACAGTCTAAAGAGAAAACAGGTTCTCTGATCCCACCAGTCACAGCATAACATTTACTCCTACTCTACTACAGTCATTGCTTACCATTTACAATCATTTTTAAACAAGTTGAACATGGTTTTCTGGAAAAATAAAGATCACAGTTTTTAAGTCTTGATCCGTGTTTAATGAGTGCAATCTGGCCAGCGTGCAAGTCTGTACTGGAACAATGAAGACCAGTAATCTTCATGTTTTTCACCACAACTAGACCACTCTTCTTCACCTACAGAAAAATGCATTACTATTAGTATTATTTTACTTTTTTTCAACATCGGGTCCATAGAGATATTACAGGTCTTCCTTGCAGAACAGTAATCAACCAGGATCAGAGCACATAGCTCTTCAGTACAAACTGTGATATGAAACAACTTCTGTTACATGTCCCCTCACCACTATTTTTTTTTTGGTGGTTTCTACATATGCCTGTTAATATCAGAGTGCTGTACCCCGTCAAACTTCAAACAGGGACTTGTCACAAATTCCTGATTTTTCTGGTCATTGCTTTGCCTATAACAAAATTTAGAAGCAGCATAGAAAATTTTGTCAATTATAGCTGAAAACCCCTCTGAATTATCCAGCATCTGGAAATGCTCATGAATTTAATTTCTGTCTTAAGCTTGACCATCCCGGAAGCCAATAGCTTCTCTAGCTGTATATCTGTTTCTTCATTTATAGAAATGAATCCTGGTTCATAAAGAATCTTCCATGGAAAAAGTCTGCATACCACAGACAAGAGCCCTTACATCTGGATTCCCATGTATTGTGAGGAAACTGAATACCAGCTGGTTTGATGAAGCTGGTGAAACAGATCTCATTATGCAATCCAGCTCCTACCAGAACACTGTTGCCTTAGATCTGTAACGAGGCTGTACTAAAGCCCTATGTATAATCCAAGTGCCATTCCTAACTGAATTACTAAACTTGAAACTGCTTCTGAAATCTGTATGGTACTGCTCATCTATCCCTCTTTCAGATCTAGTCTCAGACATACCAAGCTCTGAAAATTAGGCCTAATTGTCACTCAAATTATTTTCCTATCTTTTCCTGTCCTGGCTGATACATGTGCTATGGGTCTTAGCACATGGGTATGCTCTGCACAAACTAGTAATCGTTTTAAAGAGCACAATAAGAACTCTAATCACCAAAGAAAACACTGTTCCAGGACAATATGAAAATGCCCCTCTACTGTGAAGTGTACCTGGCAGCTATTTAGAAGACCCATTCTCAAGGATGGTTTCTTTTCATTGTCACTAAGATAGTTATCTACAAGTTCTTGATCAGCAAACACTTCAAGTCGTTCTGAGCACCTCCACTGTGTAAGAGAACTCGTCTACAATCATCAACGTTGTAATTCTAAAAGAGTATCTCTACACCATCAACTACACTGATGTTAAAGTTATAATCAGTATATACTAAGAAGTGCACAGTATACACCATGCCTCCTTTGTTATGCTCTTCAAAATACCCAAATACCCACATTTTTTAGTGTTTACTTCACCTGTCAGGGGGTATACCTTTCCTTTCAGTTTTTCAGAAATAGCATGCTTTTAACCATTTTGCTATTTTTCTCCCACCACTGGATTTTTTTCTGCTTCTAAGAAATATCTGGAAAAAGTTTACCAGCTTTTTTTTTTTTTTTTTTTTTTCTCTCTGGACTATCTGTCATGTAAAGAGCAGTTAGGTTAAATTCACGGCAGGAGCTGTTCAGAAAGACCAATTAACAGTAAGCATTGACATTTTACCTGTGTTTTTTTCTGTTGCTCAGCTGAGGGAAAGAGCTCCATCCAGAGACTGAATAAAGTAAAAAGATTGACCTTAGAAAGTCTTGGCATTTGACCTGTCATTAGAAGAAAAAAAATATTTATTAAAGAATATTTATAAAGAAACTCCACATTGTTGAACAGTATTTTCCAAGTCTTCTGCACCACAGCTGCTACAGAAGCTGGTTCATCAACCACTTCTGCTGTTACAGCAGTTAAATCCACACTGTCCTCTTCAGGGCAGTAGTTGTCAACTCACAATGCTCACATCTGGATGCAGAGATCAGATTTGTGCAACGAGAAAGTGGTGAAACTTTCACTGAAATTCAGCGAGTTAATTCTACTCAGAGGTGAAGAACAGAAATCACAGATCAGATCCCACATAACTTAATGTGCTCAAATGATTCACAGATACAGAAATTTGAGACATAGCTTCTGATTCAGCTTCAAGCTCACCACAGAAAAGAGTAAAAATACGTAGGCACGCATCATGATCTCACACTGACACCCACAGCAAAAGGGGGTAAGCCATTGCGAAACCTTCCAGTTACATCAGTTCTGAAGAAACCTGCTTCTGCATTTTTACAGTCTGCTTAAATTTTGGTTAGATTTTTACAAAAATCTAAACCTATTGCTCAGGCTGTCACTTCTGACTAAATAACCAAAGAGGTAGCAAAGATCCCTTCTCGGACCACCACCTTGTGCTGTGTTGTGCTTCTACTCAAAGTCTGGACATCGTCCTGTGAAGCCCAGCGCTCAGCACTACTGAGTGTCCCACAAATGAAAAAAGAGGACGTATTGCATTGCTCACTAATGCTTGCACCATTCCAGATGTAAAGCTATCTTGCCTCACACTTGGCAAGAAGTTAATTAAGTCTTCGAAAAAGCTCCAGTCTATTTCAGAGCTGCTTACAGAGAGCTGTAACGAACACATATTCCTCTGCAGGTCTCACATGTGCTGTCTGACAACAGTAGTATTTCTGTTTTTATCCCTTCCCGCAAACGTTAAAGTTTTTGCAAAAGGAGGAAAAGGCAGAGGCAAGAACAGAATAAAGCAAAACATTTCTTTAACTAGTTCCAGCAGTTTGGAAGCGATATAATCAGATACTAAGATTACTTCAGCAGGGGAGAGGGTTAGTTTAATGACATGTCTGTGAACCCAAACAGGACAACAGATAAACATATGCAATCCATGACTGGAATACCATTTTCAGACAGTATTTTACCAGCTTTTTTCACACAGAAGTGTGATTTTGGAAAGCCACTAGAGACCTCTTAGCCGCACCACCTGATGCCACACTGCCCACTACTCCTTCAGCTGCCCAGCTCTGCTATCCCACTGGGCACAAGCACAGCAAGGGGCACCTGGTTAGCACAGATAGGTGTGCTAGAAATGTACGTGGCAACCAGCACACATGAAGATTTGTTATCACTTGTACTAAAAACAAACTGTAAAAGTAAGTCTACAAGCCACACCTAAATAAGTAGAATTTGTTTTCTTAAATGGGTATTTGAGTTCATTCTCATTACAGCCCCTGTTCGCTCCTGTTGTAGCGCACAGATGTACAGTTCCCAAATGGCAAGCTAAAATAAAACAGTGCAGTTTACAACAACTCACACATCATGTTTTTTTAAAATGTATTATAATTTGGCATACAGAGTAGATTTAAAACAGAAGACACCAGAAACAATTTTGAATTACTGTTTGTTTTCTCAGACCTAATCTGAATGTGACCTGTCGAACACACGGGAAACAAACTGAAGAACGTACTGGTTCACAACATTGTTGTGAATTGATGCGAATTTATAGTGAGAAGCAGGAGAGTATTATGATGAAACAGGAAAGACCTGTGGTCACAGTTAGCATATCTATGTATCCACATCTTTATTCACCGAGGCAGTTAAATGTTCCCTTAAGCTCAACAGAGTGAATAGAATACTGATTAAAGTGGCCTGGAAAAAAGGTAGAAGACATCCTACAGAATTTAAAGCAACTACAGCAGATTGGGGAAGCAAAGGAATCAGGCTCTTTGCTACCAAGAGCAAAACTGTATATGAAAGGAGCACTCTTTTCAGGTGCATCAAGTCCTCACAGCTTCCCTACTTTACACAGCTTCCTTACTTCACGCAAAGGTACAATTTTATTCCTCCAGGTTAGGGATCTCGCTCCAGTGAGGCAAGGCATGCTCCAGGGAAAGCATGCTGTGAAGGCCAGTGTCAAGACCCCTGCTGCTCCGGCACCTGCAAGCAAAAAGAAGCAGGGCACTGCCCATCCGGACATGGCTCAGATAACAGGATTACGCCACGGTTGCAGCGTAGGAGTCCCTAGTTCAAAGTCTGACAGGCTGTAAGAAATCATCTTGGAAGTATGACACTAAGATTGCTTTGACACCAACAAGGAGGAGGGAATCAGTGATATCACTCTCCCGTCTGGGAAAAGGAAACTAGAAATAATTTTCAGGGTTCACCTTCTTTGCTCGCTTGGAAGCAGGATTTTCATAAAACTAGGATGAAATAAAACCCATTTACCCATCAAGGACATCTGGTATCTCTGTCGTGGTCCTCAGTCTGAGAGCTATATATACAGCCCCCGGGGCGATCCCTGTGTACACACCGCTCCCCTGGGACTGCAGCGATGGAATATAGGAAATCTGTCAAAATCTGCTTCATCTGGGCATCCCCAGCCTTGTCAGAAAGTTGCTCTCTACTAAATTCGTATATGGGCCCTGCTACAGGGGTTAGTAAGACCACCCCTCAGAAGGCAAGCATTTTTTATGCACGTTACATTTCATACGCATTAAATACACACGGTATAGAACTGGAAAATCATTTCGACGAGGGGGACATGCAAAATACAAGCATATGTTATCGAAAGGCCTTATGAATAAGAGCGCAGGCAACCGGGGGCGGGGAGGGGGGGAATACTTTATTGCATTGCCTGTAAGG